AAGAGATTGCAGCACAGTTGCTGGGACTTAGTGTAGTGTCTGGGCACCGAGGTCTGGGCACCCTTAGTGTCTGTCTGGGCACCGAGAATGGAAGAGCCAAGATGGTTCCCCATTCACCAAAATAAGAAGGGGGTGATGATGCAATTAAAAAGTCTACTGGCATTGTGCCCACCTCTGGAGCAAGTGGCAGGAACACTCGAGGACAACTGCATATGATGATATAAATCATGTCATTTGAAGACCTAGTGACTAATTCCCACGCTGCACCCTGTGCACCTGATGGCTGAGCCACGCTCAGCGTGTGTTAGGCCATGACTCTGTGTGTCATGGTGACCTGACTAGAGATACCTTTGTTCATAAAGTCTCCTCCTCTTGGGAATCCCTGTCCCCCTAACCCTTTCCAAGTACTATTCACTTTTGTTGACAAGCTTTCTCCAGTGCTCCAGCCCTCAGTGATTGCCCAGGGTCTAAAACATTACTGTACAACCCCTCCTGTGTGCCTGGCATTAATGCCCACTATTTGGTGTTGTTATGTACACTTATACTGTCCCTAACTTTCCAGCTAGTTGGTCATATCCTAGAATGTAGAGAACCCAGTTTATATTTCAAAATATCCCCATCGTCATCCAGAATCAGTGATCTATAAACTGTGAAAGAGAAAGGGAAAGAGGAAGGAGGAGGACAAAGGCCAAAGTTTAACACTCCCCGAAAGCCTCACTATGCTGACTCCCAGTTGTGAGGACCACTTCTCACTTATATCAGAGGGGGTGGAGTTACTTAGAGGCCACTGCTGCCAGCCCAATCCCTGAGTTAGAACCCCTGGTAGGAAGCCTCCCCTGAAACACAGTGCGTTCTCCCAAAGCTGTTTGCAGTAAGTGACTCACCCAATTAAGAACATCTACATAACAAAGCCTCACCGGGCTGCAGAGGTCACAGAGACTGCGAAGTGTGTCTTTAGTGTGTGCTTTAGAGAAGGTTCACTAATTACCAGTCATTTCCACCCCTCAAGAACCTGTCAGCCTTTGAGATGCAAGGGATAAAAGAATCCCCAAATTCCCACCCCACACTAATCACTTCTCCCTCCTCACCCCTCCCCTGCACTTCAAACCTGTGACTAATAAGTGCCAAGGATGGGATTCTGCCCACCTGGCTCAGAGCCCAGAGGTGAAGGAGAGGAAAGAGGTTGAGTTGCCTCCATCGGCAGCATTTTTTAGTAAAAGGGACTGGGATGGACAGGTCAGCAAAGAGAGTTCTGGAAGCACTGCATTGTTGTCTCTGTTAAATGAGCAAACAAATAAAACTTGTGTTTTTTCTCTATTTATAAAGGTAATAAATGTTTGCAGTGAAAACTACAGGTGAGCCCTGGCTGGTGTGTCTCAGTGGATTGAGTGCTGGCCTGCAAACCAAAAGGTTGCTGGAGCAATTCCCAGTCAGGGCACATGCCTGGGTTGCAGTCCAGGCCCCCAGTTGGGGGCGTGCAAGAGGCAACTGATTGATGTATCTCTCACACATCATTATTTCTCTCCCTCTTTCTCCTTCCCTTCCCTCTCTTTTAAAATAAATAAATTAATAAATTAAAATATTTTTTAAAAGTACAGGTGAACAAGAAGAAAATTAAAATTACCCACAACACCATCCACTAAAATGACCAGTGTTTGGTCCCATAGAACCCTTGCATCCTGCTTTCTAGAAGACATGTATTAATTGTATGTGCATGTCCCTGCTCTTTTATAACCAGATCTTCTCATCTAATGATATATCTCTAGCATCTCTCCCCATGGGCACATGGAAGGAATGTTAGAGCTGGCAGGGATGCTGAATTGGGTTAGCAGAGAAGGTGCATTTGGGTATTAAATAGGAAAGGGAAGCATTGGTAGAATTTCTGAGAGCTGAAGGCTATTGTGAGGCAGGAAAGAGCCCTGACCTTTAGAACTCGGATAAATAACTTCCTCTTTCTAAACCTCAGTTTTCTCATCTGTAATTTGGGAGTAATATGCCTTATAGGGTTACTGTGAGGATTAACAGAAATCATAATTGTAACAGGACTATTCAGAAATGGAATGTTTTATTACTAATTGTAACAGGTGTTTATTCATGCCTATTTTTTACTTAACCCTCTATAGTACTCTGGTTCAGGCCTGAGGGAGCTTAAAATCTAATTGAGAAGTTAAACACACATGCAAACACAAAGTTAAATAATATGATTTTAAGTAGTTAGCAAATGATATCATCAATTAGTAAACAATTAAGTGCCAGATGAGGAGCACAGACAGCAGCACTCCAGGGATTCCAAGGTAAGAAAGAACACATGGAATAATAACAATAACAACAACAATAACAACGACCACTTTGAGCACTTTCTATGTGCTAGGCATGGGTGTTTTTTCATTCAATTTACCCACTGACCTATGAGGTAGGTACCATCATTTCATACATTTTACACAGTAAGAAACTGAAACTTCAAAGAGGTTAAGAACATTGCTCTAAGTCACACATCTTAAGAAATGTAGCAGTACTGTTCTTTGGAACTGAGCAGTTGCACGCTGAAGCCTAACACAGGCAGAAGCACTATGATCCACTCTGAAGGAGGTAGGGGAGGGGAAGCTGAGCCTTGAGCTGGGTGGTACAAGATGGAGCCTCCAAAGCAAAGATGAGACTGAGGAGGGTGTGTTGGTACACCGGGAAAGATTCTAGTCTAGATGGATGGCTAGTCTTCAGGGCCAGAGAAAAGTAAGCTTTGATGTTAAGAAGATTGAAGGAGAGGAGCTAAGGCATGTGAAAGATTTCATTGATGGAAATGGGTTGCCCATAAGGGTTTGCAGCAATGCAGGGTCCAATCAGAGCAGTGTTTGGGAAGTGGGGCCGGGAAAAGACACCTTGGGAGGCTTTTAGGTGGATGTGAGGAGGGCTGAAGCTAGAGAGAAGCACCTGGGGGTAGAAGCCATCTTTCCTATAAAGCTCTCATTCCCCTACTCTTTTATCTTTGTGACATTTTGGGCTAATCTACATTTGGTTCCCATGACCTCTGGCCTCATTTTGGCATGTTTACTAACTCCTTTCACACTTTGGTTCTGCAGGAAGTAGCTCATTCATTATTTCATAAGTGCTTGTGGAGCTCCCATGTTAAAGTGAGAATCAATCTACACAGCCTGGTGGCTAACTGTCATGAAAGGGGAAGGAGGTTGAAGATGATGGCAATTCCCTGACAGAGCTGATCCTCACCAGGCTCTCCCCAAACCCTCCATCTTCCCAGTATGGCAGACCCTCCCTCCCCACATCAGCCACTTCCTCAGGCCTCGGCTGCTACTTCTCACCCTACACACTCTCATCCAAAAGGACCCTTTTCTTTTGAAGAGTGAGAGTAAGGTCATGGTCTTTAGTGAATATGAGAATGTGGCAAAATAACAGTGTGATAGAAAGAGTCCCTGAGAGGACAAAAGTTTCAGTAGCAAAGGTGGGGACCAAGAAAGAAAAATCCTTGAAAATCAATTCATGTAACTAATATTTACTGAATATTGTTGATGTATGTGGTAGATTCTGCAGGACATGTAAGTAAGGGGACATCATTCATGCCCTTAATTGACTAATGCCTTGGAAAGGGGTGGCGGGGGAGGAAGGGAGTAGAAATAGAGATAGAAAAAGAAGGAGAAAAGAAAAATAAACACTGAGTCCAGAGACCTGAAGCATTGGTCAAAGTCAAGATCTGGGAGAGTGCAGTGCAGTGTGGAAGGAAAAACTGTTACCTCTTCTTTAATTCGACTCATACACAAGACCTCAAATGCCTCAAGCCACCATCTTTCCAAGGAAATGGAGCCAAGAGGTGTTCCTGTGCCATTGATTGCATTCCACAAACATTTTTTGAGCACTCCAAAGTACCAGGCACTTAAGCTCTTAAGCTCTGCTGAGAAGAATAAGAGTTGATTGTCACCTATGGTGGTTGATCTTGACAGTGCCCTTTGATGCCTTAGAAACTTTAATCAGACATATTGAGTGCCATCCAGGCTTATGGGGTGAGAGGGTTCAAAGTAAGAGGAGAAATTCTGCACATTCTTGAACCAAATGGGGATAATATTCTTTTCTCACTGGGTTTTGGTAATAAGTAAATGAGGTAATATTGTGAAGCTACCTAGAACAGTGTCCAAGACACAGTAGACATTAAATAAAATCATCTGAACATTAAGTCTGTCCTCTCAATCAATTCTGGCATGACTTATTCTCTTTCCTGAATTTACCAGTTTTTTCTTTGAAATTACTTCCTAGCTGCATTGGAGGTGTTCAGGCAGGGACCCTCACCAGTGTCCATTATAGAAGCCCCACTAAGAAATAATCACCATCAGCCCTGGCTGGTGTGGCTCAGTGAATTGAGCACCAGCCTGTGAACCAAAGAGTCACTGGTTGGATTCTAGGCAGGGTTCATGCCTGGGTTATGGGCCAGGTCCCCAGTATGGGGTGTGTGAGAGGCAACCACACATTGATGTTCCTCTCCCTCTCTTACCCTTTCCCTTCTGCTCTCTCTAAAAATAAATAAAATCTTTAAAAAAGAGAGAAAGAAAGAAAGAAAGAAAGAAAGACCATCAAATCTGTTTACAAGTACCCAAAAAGCTGTGCGATGTCAAATCAATTGATATTCTTGGTTGTGAGTGACAGAACCTGCCTCTGGCTAATTTAAGCAGAATAGAAATCTATCAAAAGGATTTCAGGAAGCTCAGAAAATCAGTAAGAAGACTGGAGAGTTAGACTTGGGAAGTGGACAGGAACTGAGTGTCTGGAAAATGGAAAATGTAGTTGGTTGTGTTACCACAACAATCTGGGTAGACCACCGTCTGAGTGGCTGTCATTATCATACTGGACATGATAGCAACCATCCTCTCCACTCTGCCTCCCCCATACAGATACAGTCCATGATACTAATTTGGGCTCAGTGCTCCTAGTGGGCTCTCACAGTCTCTGCTGCTGCTGCTGCTGAGGAGCATTTCTAACTACTCCAATCTTCTGCTCACCTCTTGAGAGTCAAAAATTCCCACTGGTGGAGCCTCAGCTGCCAGGGCCAGGGAGAAGGAGGATGTGGCCCCTTCAGCTTCTGTAGTTGGAAGGAGTACCTGCAGATGATAGGCAGACAAAAGTAAAAAACCACTAGGGCTGTAATGTAACCATTTTTGCATAAATGAACAACAACATATTATATGAGTGTGTTTATATGAGCACAGTGAACATACGAAAAGGGATAGAATCTACACCCGGAACTGTTAACACAATATATCAGGAGATTGGATAAAAAACTGGAGAGGAGATGGGTGAGGGCATAACGTTTTTCTTTATATAGCTTTGAGTGCCTTGCAGGTTGAAGTTGATTTTTCTTTTATAATTTTGGGATACAACTTAAAGCTTTTAAAAAGTAGTTTAGAACTAGATTGCGGAGACTCAAGTGTTACATGGATCAATAGGGAACACTAAAGATTTGAACAATAGGGAACACTAAAGATTTCTGAGCAAAGGAATGATGTGGTCAAGAAAACCTAGCAAGAGTATGTATAATGGATTAGAAGCAAGAGAGGCTGGAGATGTACAGAATAATTAAAAGGTTCTATCAGCAGCAGCTCAATTAGAAGCTAATACAGAACTTAACTATGATAGCAGTAACATGTGAAGTGAGGAAGAGGGTAGGGGACCTGTTACAGCCTTGGGACAAACGTGCCTGAATGGCGGGAGGAGTGGTCATGAAGGGGCATTTTCCCATTATACTGTGTCAATCAGCACATCTTGCACTTTCAAAATCTGAATAAATGGCTGGAAAATCATAGATATCTCTCTTCTCCAACTTCCTTGAGCATTCACTTATGACACAATATGGAGACTCAAAATAATCTTTTTTCATGAGATTTGTGTTATTTCCCTTATTAAATTGAACACATCTTAGGGTGCAAAACCATAGAGAATACTTATTGATAGCCCCCCAAAGTGGAGTAAACCCCAAAAGTTATTCATTTGTTCAGTACAGTTGACAGTATACACAAATGCTGTTTTCTTCATTAATTCCTCAAAGGAATAGCCCCAGTCCCTGATTCCTCTAACTTATCATCTGGTGAAGGGAATAGACTCTCTACAGGAAACCCCAGTGTGGTAAGTGTTCTAAGAGAGGGGTCCTGACCCAGTACCAGGTAGGGAGGTACAGGGGAGTGGGGTGTAAGCTGAGACCTGAAGAAAGTGGAGCAATGAGGCAAGTGAAGAGGAGGACAGGAAGTCATTACAGATAGAAGGAAAAGCAGCAGCAAGGTCTGTTGGTGGGAAGTAGCATGGCACATTTGAGGAACGGAAAGGCAGCCACTGATAGCAGGAGCTCAGGGTGAGGGGGAGTAGTAGGAGACAAAGGCAGAAAAGGGAACTGAGGCCAGTCAAGCCGGGAGATCTGCCAGCCATGGGCTCAACTTGATCCTATGAACAATGAGAACCCAGAGGCTGTTAACGAGAAGAGAAACATAGTCTGATACGCTTTTTTAAAAAGATCACTCTGGCTTTAGCAGAAAGCACAGAAGAACAACGGGGGGCGCTCTTTGGGCGGGTTTCCCCATCAGGCTGGGAGCTGCCCAGGAACTGAGTTGGGTCCATCCCGTGTACACCTTTCTCCTCGACTGCGTAGCCCCCTCTCCCGCTGAGCAAGGCCTCAGCTGCAAGTGGAGGTGGTTAACCGGCCGCAGACACGCCCCCCACAAGGTAAGTAAACTGCCAGCAACATTGCCTCAGAGTGAAGGGTTGGGATGCTGGGATCTGAAGAAAAGAAGGGATAAGGATATGGAAGCGATGGGAATGAGGCAAGGCCAATTTCTTCTCTCCTCGCCTCGATTTCTTCACTTATAAAGCAGGGCATTTACGGTACTTACCTCAGAGAGTTGCTGTGAGGACATAATGCATACACAGTTCTTAGAGAGATCTGGCACAAAGCGAACGCTCGAAAAGTGTTAACTTTTGTTTTTGTTCTTCCTGAAAGACAGGTGAGGTCCTGTGGACTTGGATATGTATTTCCTGCAGTCCTAGGGTCCCAGAGACCGTTCGCGAGCGCCTGGGCCAGACAGGTGTCAGGACCACGAAAAGACCGAGTTGGACAAAGTCCTACGTGCGAGTTTGGGCTGAAGTTGCTAGTGTGCATGTGCTTCTGTTTCTGTATTTAAATCTTAACTCAGAGCCCCAGCTGAGGAAAAGGAGCTGCCCGCTGCCCGCCGGGAGACCCGAGGAGCTGCCAGGCCCCTAGCAGGGGCCTGAGATCCCGCAGCCCTGCCGGCGGGGGCGGAGCTAGGGTGGGCAGGCGTGGCGGGGGCGTGGCCCAGCCCCGAAGTCCCGCCCTTAGCGGAAGTGCCACCGGCCCTCCCCAGTCTCGGAGGCCGGTTCCCCGGGCCCCTCTCGCGGCCGGATCTCCTCAGCGCAATTCGGCTCCTAGAGGAAGTTCGACCGAGACCCCGACACAGTCCGAAGCGGAGGCCCCGGGCCTGCGTATCTGGCTGTCTCGGGCGGCGCTTTCTGTCCCTCCCTCCCCCGCCTCCCCTCCCAGTTCCCTGTGACGGGCGCGAACGCGGGCGCCGCAGGGCCGCACGGGTGAAGACAGCGAGTGAGGGCGCACGTGTGGGCGCCTCCCGGGCTGGACCCGCAGGACAGGAGGCTGACGGCACGTGTCCGGCTCTTTTCCAGAGAGATTCTAGTGACTTCCGAGCTCGGGAAGAGCGGACGCATACCCAGGGGGCGCTGCCCGGCTCTGGGCGGCAGGGGAGCGGGACTGGAGCCCGGGGTCCTTGGGGGCCGGAGCCGCCCGCGTCCCGCGCAGGCCCCGCGGCGCTCAGCGGCGGGCCGCTGGTGCGCGGGGGTCGGACGGGCGCCCCGCCAGGGCGTGCACCGTCTCAGGCTTGCAGAGTAACAATCAATAAAAATCGATGCGATGGCAAAGAACACGAAACACTTTGGATTGTTATTATTTGCGTTTGTTAAATTGGTTTTATTTTATTTTTTTACTTCCTTCTTGGAAAAGGTGGCTTCGGCTTGGATCAGGGCCTGGGAAAAGGACGCAGTGTGCCCCCTGGTCTCCCGGCGGGAGGCGAAAGCAGTCCTCCGGCCCAAGCCGCGCAAACTTCCCGGAGCAGCTGGCAGTGCGGCGCCCGCGCGGGCCGGGAGCCCGGGTGCGCTTGGCTTCCGGACAAGGCGTCCCCCGCCTTGCCTCATTGTCCTCACTTTAGGGAGACGCCCCCCCCCCCCCACCTCCAGCCGCATTTCTCTGGTTCACCACCCCCACACCCCGGGGGCCGCTCCTCCTCCCCTCCCCCGAGCTCTCCCCGGCGCTTTAAATAATGATATTTGCATGCAGGGAGCGATTCATAAATATGTCAGGGCCGGTGAAATATAGGCAACATTTCAAACTTTCTATTTAAAAAACATGAATTATGGCCGCGGAAAATGTGTTCCCATTTAAAGGCGATACGAAGTATTTGGTGTCTCGTCCCTGGGCCCATCCATCACGCAGACAATAAAGAGAGTTTTTCGCCCTGACACCCGCGATTTATGGGCGCCCTTCTCTGCCCTCATCACTCACCCGCCGAGGCCGGCCCGGCGACAGGCCCCGCGGAGAGACGGGCAGCCACTCACCCCCCTTGCCGGCCCGCGCACGCACTTTGCGCCCCAGCCAGGCCCTCGAGACTGCGGCTCCCAGGAGGAAGCTGTGGCTGGGGGGAGTTGGGAGGTAGGCGGTGGTGGTCTGGGCAGCCCGTGGGAAGGGGAACGACACTAGTCCTTTTCGCCCCCGGGCAAGCCCGTTTTTTTGTTGTTTTTTTTGAGCTGGCGCTGAGCTGCCCGCCGGCAGCCTGGAGGGCCCGCTCTGAGTCCGGCCTCGCCCGCCAACTGCGGCGCCGCGGAGCGGGGAAGTTTGCAGTGCAGGCAGCGGGAGGTTATTTACACGCAGTTTGGAGATGAGGGGAGTGCACTGGTCAGGGGGCTCCACAGAGGTGGAGTTCTGATCAGTCTGCCACGGGGAAGGCGAACTGGTCCCAGGCTTTCTTGTGCCCTGCTAGACGGACACTTCTCGGCAAAGCTCTTTTGCAACTTTTACAAAGCCACCTCCTCCCTGGTGCAATCCCCACAAACACACCCTAGGCGTTCGTGGCACCTTGGAGACTAGCCTTACCTACCAGGCCAAGAAGTTGGCGAGAAAGAAGGCAGAGGAGGCACCTCCCCTAGCGTTGCACCTCCTGCCCTGCTCCGTGTCGCACGCCCTCTTCTACCTACAGCCCCACCTCTCTTTCCTTCGGTCCTTCCAAAGCCTCCACCTAATCTCTGCTGCAAACTTGAGTTGAAGAAAGTTCGGGCTTCATTTGCCGTGGGATCTGCTTTCAGTTTTCGCCGAGGGCGGGCTTGGCCCGGAGGGTTCCCGAAACCCCGGCAAATTTGAGGACTGCCAGGCACTGAGGGGCAGCACGGGGCCACGGGGCCCAAGGAGGTTGATAGTCCAGCCTCTTTCGGGGGCCAGATCCGCTGCCTCACGAGCACTAGGAGCTACCTTGTGTCCCTCTCTGGGCCAACTCGTCTGCGTGAGAACCGGGAGCCGTTCCTTCCCTGCCATTGCCTGCGATCTGGATTTATTCGGATAGAGGCAGTGCAAGCCGCAGCCAGAGAAATCCCGTCGATTCTGAAAATGACAAGGTTGAATTTATTAGATCAAGATTCATGTGTAGTGCAGGGAGATGAAAATTATACTAACAGCTCCGCGTCCAGCGTGAACGGAAGATCGCTTCCAGCTCAAGGGCATGTAACATAACATCTGAATATTTAGATCTATAGAGGGATATAAAATATTATTAAATTCTCGGCATGCGCATATATAGTTAAGTTGGAAAAATTCTACAAGAAGTGTCTTTTTACAGCCCCTGTTTGGGTGTACTCTGGGTTCGAGATAGCACTTATGTCCAAGTAACCTCCCAGCGGAAATTTCCTGTAGCCAGAGTGAACTCCACATCTATGAGGGGTATGGTACCTGTACCTCTTTAAATATCTGCAGCGTGGCAGAGGTGAAATAAATATATTAAAGAAAAACAGGCGCACAGGTAACTGAGCCATTACATCGGTACAATATTTATGGGTATAGAAATAAATGTTCCTTTCCAGTCACCTGTGGCAAGTGCGCACAAATAGAGGGGCTTTCGGGAATGGGGAGGGGCGGGCACCGGTCCTGCATCTCTGGAGGCCCAGCACCCTGAGGTGAGCTCTATTCGATATCTACAGCCTCAGACCCTGATACAACTGCTGGGAGAAGGTGGGCCAGCACTACCGTACCTTGGTGGAGACGGGGGTTCTCCGGGATACAAGCATGCTGACAGAGGCTTCCTTGGGCTTTGAACTGGCATTTAGGGCAGCAGGGCCTGGGGTCCCACAGGGATCCCTTCTCCTTCAAATACTTCAACCACCTCTCAATCCTGGTTTCACCCAGCTCGGGCAGTGGCCATTTGGGCCTATCTATTTGAAGCAAAAGCATGAAAAAGGGCAGTTCGAGCTTGGTTCTGAGGCATCCCAGAGGATGAAGCCCGAGGTCACCTGAAAGAAAGCCATGACTTCATGCCCCCTTGGTCCCAAGGCCACCCAGCCTGCAGAGCACCAGTTTGAGGCCACAGAAGTAATTATCTGGGTGTGTTTATATTTATGAAATGTTAGGCATCCCTTCACATACTCAGTGCTGAGGCCCAGGTGTCTGCTGGGTCTCCTCACATTTACAACACCCAGCCAATGCCACCAGCCAGGTCAGCGACCTTGCAGCTGTGAAATTCCAAGATCAAATGCTAATTCCACAATAGGGCATTTGCGACTGTCCACCCACTGCTCTGGTATCTTCTCTCTCTCTCTCTCTCACCCCACCAAACGCACCCAATCCTTAAACAGGCATAGTTTTTTGAGAGCTCCTGCTTGAAATAAAATTAAGAAGGACTTCATCATGTGTTCCTGGGAATTGCACACACTCCTGGGGCAGCGCTGGGGCAGAGAACTGACCCCGGCCCTGAGAATGCCCTTCTCCAGAGAGTGTGACTGCGCCAAAGTAGTATGTATGTACTACTTCACAGTAGTAATCCACAGTAGTATGTGCTCCAGGAGGGAGAGAGAATGGGAAATATTCCTTGGCAAGTAGGTAGGGGGAAAGGAAGTGTAGGGAGGGAAAGAAGATGAAGGTTAGGGAGACAAGGCAGAAGCAGGAGATGAAACAAAAAAAAGAGGGGGGGGGTCATTCGGGGGAAAAGAAAAGGAGAGGCAGGGGAAGCGAGTGGAGAAGGGTGCAGGCCAGGGTGAGGCTTCGGGAACAGAACAGGCTGTGGTGGCTTGGGTAAGGCGGGTGCCTTCAGAGCCTTGAGAATAGGAAGGGCCACCCGGAATCGTCCCCTACCAGCCCTCTGAATCTGGTCCCCGCTTCCAGTCCGGAGGGTCAGGCCTGGATCCAGCAGCCTCCGCGTGATCTTTTCTCTCTCCGCTCCTAGGGGACCACAAGGCGGGGTGACACCCGGATGGGGAGGCCCCCAGGGGCGCGCCAGTCCGGGACTGTTTGGGCGCTCTGGGCCAGGCTTTCCAGCTCGCCGGGCCTGACCTGTCAGGCGGATTATCTTCGAGGGAGATTAATAGGGGAGGCGGGCTGCAATAATAATCGTTTTGTTTGATGTGACAACTCTGATAGGCGTTGATTTACTTACAAACTGATAGGCTTTTAATTGAGCGCCTCCGCCGAGCCCGAGATGAAAGGGAAGCGGCGGTGAAAGGCGGCCCGCCTGCCCTCCGGCCTCAATACTGATTAGCCATCTCGACAGTGAATAGTTCAAGGCATTTTCAAACTTTCTGCCTCAACTCTCTCTCCTTCTTTCTCCTCCCATTCCCTCCTCAAATATCTGCCATGCCCACCCTTTTTTAGAGAAGACAAATCATTTCCATTGTGTGCAAATAAAATCCACAGGACATCCACGCCAACAGCCGCTGGGGGTTGGAGGCATTAGGCCTAGCGCGGAGTAATTAATAACCCCCCAACCCCACAGCCAGCTCGGCGTTGGGGGATTTGGCCTCCCTGGAGACATGCGCCTGCTCGGATGTCCCAAAAGCCCGGTGCGCGCAGGCCTCCAGGCGCCCCCGTGCGCTCGGACCTTCCGAGTTGGGTTTGGGGAGGAGGGAGTGTAAGCTGACCACCACCCGCAAGCGCGCAGCACCGTTCAGGCATTCGAGAGTGTGTCGCCACACCGCGGCACATCCATTCCGTGGGACACAGGGGCCACTCTATGGTTACCCCACGTTTTGGGTGCTGGGACTGCCGCATCCAATTCCAGCAGAGGGAAGGAACTGGGTCTGGAGACAGAGGTGAGAGGGTTGGGGGTATGCCCCTGGTCACCTCCAGCTATGGCCACCGCCCCCAGCATTCAGCATCCGGGCCTCACCGGGAGGCCGTGGCGACACACGGCCCATTGCTGGGCTCGCAGAGCTGGGAGCTCCACAGCTGATCCGGGCTGACTCCTGGACAGCCGCGCACTCAATGACACAGACAGACACTAACACGCCCGCAGGATATAACTGGCTTCACAGACATGCTGCCCGACCGAGAGAGAGTTTAGGACTGCCTGGGACTTGCTCCCCAAAGATGGTCAAGACAACCTTCCCAACCTTTCTTGTGGCCTTGCCACCGTCTCCCAAACTCACCTTCCTCTGTTGTCGCAAGGACACTCCAAACCCCTGAACGCAGGTGTGTTCTTCCGCCTACACACACGCACACAGGCACACACCAACAAACAGCAGCCAAAACCACAAACCGCCTTGCTCACTTCTTCTCCAAATTATCTTTAGTCCAGTACCATCTCATGAACTTTACCAACCTGAAGAATCGAAGGATGAGATTAAAACGCAGAAAATGAATGCCTACAAGAAAATTCTAAAACTCACCCCGGAAAGTTCTCGGTACCTGTGCGGAGGAGACAGAGATAAAAATGGGGGAGAGGGGGTGGTTAAAGAGGAGAGGGCGAGCATGCCGAGGGCAGGTCCGAAACCCTACCCCCGAGCGCACGGGTCTCTGCGCCTGGGGAACGCGGGTGGAAGCTGGTGTCCAGGCCCGGCCTCCGCCCCTCGCGCGGGTACAGACTGGCTCCTGGCTCCCAGCGCTCCCTGCCCCGCCATTTATCAAAAGGATTGACAACAAAAGAAGAGCCGGAGCGGAAAAGTGGGGGAGGGGAGATTCAAAGTCTTCGAAGTCGTTCCGAGTAAGGGGGTGTGTCCTCCTCTCGCCCCCCTTCCAATTTCTGCGACTTTCTGAAGGTGACCCCCGAACTCGCTCCAAATGCTATCAAAGCCCTGACAACTCACACAGCAGCACAGGCATACGTACACACTTGTGCACCCAGAATCAGTGGCACGGAGACACGCACAGCGCCTCCCCTTTTCCTTCCAAACAGCCCGAGTGACTGTGCAAATCGAGGGGAACGCGGCAGTCCCGCTCCGCTTCCCTGGAAGAACCCTTGTTCCCACAGGCAGCCGCCCCCTCCCTCCCTGGCTCCTTCACTCTGCTGTCCCAGCGCAGGTCAATCCCAGCTACGAGTTCCAATAAATTCGAGCGAGCAGAGTGGAGTAACCCCGGCTACTAAGCGCACTGAGATGGCGCGCAGTGTGGGAAGCCTGGGGTAGGGGCCTGAGTGAGTCTGACACTTATCTTTCCCATTCGCCCACGCTCAGACCTCTTCTTCGCGGGCTCTCAGCCGACCCACAGTCAGATGGGGTTCAAAGAATTGAGGGGGATACCCTATCATTGACCTCCAGGACTCGTTACGTTGGAGATGTGGCTCCTAGGAAACAGTCTCTGAGTTTGGGGTCAGGGCACTACGGAGGTCGGGGTCCGCGGCAGGCTAGCAGCCTGGCATCGGCACACTACATGACCCCGAGGGAATAACCTAGGCGAGAGGAAAAAAAAAAATCTCCCGTGCGAGACATCACCGCCTCTGGTCTCGGGTACCCAGAGTCGCGCCGAACTCCGCGGCCCCAACGGATCGAAATCCCCAAGGGAGGAAGGGTGTATCTCTGTCTCCGACCTCGAAGAGACGAGGCGCGCACCCCAGGCCTGCGCACCCCTCTCAGCACCCTGTCCGCACCTGCGCACTTGACTCTCACTGTTCATTTTCTTGACACCGAGCGCCTCCTTCCCCCGCTTCATTCTTTTTCTTAGAGCCCCAGCCCCGCCCATCCCAGGAGGCTGCTCCTCTTTCCTCCTTCTCCGGTCCCCCCGCCCCCCACGATCTCTTCCTTCCTCAGCGTCTCTCTCTCCTTTTTCCCCTTCAAGTCGCACCCGCCTTGTAATCAGCAACAAAAGCTGACATAAATCACGGGCGGATTGACAAGAGCTGACAAATAACTGATTGATTGCGGTCGAGGAACATTGACAATTGATGGAGGGGTGGAGATGCCCAGAGAACTTGGCGGGGTGGGGGGAGGGACGGGCGACGAGAGGAGAGGGTGGCCGGGCAGAGTGAGAAGTGGGGGCCGAGTGTGAAACAGAGGAAACATGTGACCCTCGCTCCTGCCCCAATCTGCGAGTCTCCGGGCGTCACGTGGCGGGGAAGGGCGGGGAGCCCCCAGCACAACTCGGAGAAAAACCACCACCGCTGCCCACCTAGCTTCTGGTTTCTCTGCCTTCAAATCCCGGGAAATCAAATCGGGCGGGCAGACTTCCTCCAGCACCCGCTCCCCACCTTTCCTTACTCTGGCGGCCGCGCCGCGAGAGAGTTCGGTTACGGAGGGGGAGAGCATATGTGGTGTCCGGGCCCCTGTGAGCCCCCGGACTTGACAGCCCGGCTGTCGTCCGAAGTCCTGCGGGCGCTGCATTTGCACACCACCTTAATCTGTTCCTCACACGCACCCTCTTGCAAAAGGAGGCTTCAGTTTATTTTCGAGCTGGGAAAAGGAAGGACGACAAGGAGAAAAAAGGAGGGAGGCGGTAGATAGCAAACGTAGAATAAAAGTCCAGCTCCCCCTCGGAGCGAAATCCAAGGAGGGGACGAGCCGCGGGGAGTGGGGGGAGGCGGCGATGAGGGAGCTGCCCATTAAAACCAGCGCTGAGAGTCCAGGCGGCGGCGGCGGCGGCGGCGCGGGACGCGTCACATCCCCTTGACCCTCCAATCACCTCGGGCTCCCATTTGATTGGAAGGCGGCAAAGGCTTTAATCTCCCCCTCGGTGCAGCTGCTTTTGAAGTGAGTTTCCTCGCCAGAGACCCGGCTGGACAAGCAGCGGCTCACACCGCCGAGAGCAGCGCCGGCGCCGGGCCGCTCGTAAGCAGCGCAGGGGCACAGCCCGAGGCGGACACGGCGAGCCGCCCGGCAGTCCCGCAATCGGGCGGGCTCCTCGCGGTCGGCCACGGCTCCGCTGCAGGCCACCCAGGATTATTCGCCGCTGGCTCTAGGCGGCGAGAAGGCGCGCGGGGCGCCCGTGGCCGCTGCGCCAGCTCCTCCTCCTCCTGCTGCTCCTGCTCCCCGGGCGAGCGCGCAGCCCGGAGCCCGCCCCCCGCTGCTCCCATGCGCGCGGGTGGGTCATGAGCACAGCGCCCTCGCTTTCTGCCCTAAGAAGCAGTAAGCACAGCGGCGGCGGCGGCGGCGGCAGTGCGGACCCTGCCTGGACCAGCGCGCTCTCTGGAAATAGCTCCGGCCCCGGCCCAGGCTCGTCCCCGGCCGGCAGCACCAAGCCTTTTGTGCACGCGGTGCCTCCCTCTGACCCTCTCCGCCAGGCTAACCGACTGCCCATCAAGGTGCTGAAGATGCTGACCGCACGGACTGGCCACATTTTGCACCCTGAGTACCTGCAGCCTCTGCCTTCCACTCCCGTCAGCCCCATCGAGGTAAGGACCCTCTCCTTGGATCGTACTGGATTGGGACCACCACCCTGGCTGCCGCTTCACGGAATTTCTTTCTCTCCGGATCTGGGGGTGGAAGTTGGTAGCCGAGGAGGTGGGTGTCAAGCGATTCAGCTCCGGGATGGAGAGAGAGGATAGGGCTCCCGCACCTTAAAACTAGGGCAGAAAGAGGGCAGGAGGTAGACTGGAGTGTGAATGTTAGGAGACAAGGCAGCCACAACTTGTTTCTCTCTTTGGTATTAAAACCCCTACCCCGACCCAGACCCACTCACTTTCTGCCCGGAAGACGGACGGGAGCCCGAAATTCGGTTCCAAAGGCGCAGTCCTCGAGTTCCTCAGAAGCTGATATTTGTACACGGCCTCTGAGGTGCAAACCGCCTGAGCCATTACTCCAAAGAATTAGGGATGGGGTGGGAGGTGTACAGTTCTGAGACTAAGAGTCAGAAACCAAAATATTTTGTATTTTAAAATCCAGTTTAGCGCTTGGAAAGGACATGAAAGATCCTGGGGCGGGGGGGGGGGTGTGGAGAGGGGATCCTGCTACCTTTCTCAAGGGCGAGTGCGTGTGTAGAGGTGTAGAGGAGGGTGCCGCCTAGAATTGCCCCTCAGGGCTGGGAGGATCTTCGCAGGCCTTGGCGGAGGGGTGTTTGAATCCTAGAAGCCAGGATTCTAAAGGATTTCCCCTTCTTTCTTTTTGCACCCGTCCCCACCGCCTCCCGCGTCTGACCCCGCAGCTCGATGCTAAGAAGAGCCCGCTGGCGCTGTTGGCGCAAACATGCTCGCAGATCGGGAAGCCCGACCCCTCGCCTTCTTCCAAACTCTCCTCCGTCGCTTCCAACGCGGGCGGCGCGGGCGGTGCCGGCGGCGGCGGCGCCGGGGGTGACAAGGACGGAAAGTCGGGGCCCCTCAAGCTGAGTGACATCGGCGTGGAGGACAAATCGAGTTTCAAGCCGTACTCCAAACCCGGCTCGGATAAGAAGGAGCCGGGAGGCGGCGGCGGAGGAGGCGGTGGCGGCGGGGGTGGCGGCGGCGGGGGGGTTTCAGCGGAGAAGTCCGGATTCCGAGTACCGAGCGCCACCTGCCAGCCATTCACGCCCAGGACAGGCAGCCCAAGCTCCAGCGCCTCGGCCTGCTCACCAGGAGGCATGCTGCCTTCGGCCGGGGGTGGCCCGGAGGGCAAGGATGACAAAAAGGACTCAGACTCGGGCGGCGGCAGTGGCGGCGGCAAGGGCTCCGGAGCCGCCTCGGCCGAAGGGGCACCCACGGGGCTGGCACACGGCCGGATTAGCTGCGGCGGCGGGATTAATGTGGACGTGAACCAGCACCCAGATGGGGGTCCCGGGGGCAAAGCTCTAGGCTCGGACTGTGGCGGCTCCTCGGGCACCAGCTCCGGCTCGGGCCCCAGCGCACCCACCTCCTCCTCGGTGCTGGGCTCTGGGCTGGTGGCTCCAGTGTCGCCCTACAAACCAGGCCAGACAGTGTTCCCTCTGCCTCCCGCGGGCATGACCTACCCAGGCAGCCTGGCTGGGGCCTACGCCGGCTACCCGCCCCAGTTCCTGCCACACGGCGTGGCGCTCGACCCCACCAAGCCGGGCAGCCTGGTGGGGGCACAGCTGGCGGCGGCTGCGGCGGGCTCTCTGGGCTGCAGTAAGCCCGCTGGCTCGAGCCCCTTGGCCGGGGCGTCGCCGCCTTCCGTGATGACAGCCAGCTTGTGCCGGGACCCGTACTGCCTCAGCTACCACTGCGCCAGCCACCTGGCGGGGGCCGCGGCGGCCAGCGCGTCGTGCGCCCACGACCCGGCCGCTGCAGCGGCGGCACTCAAGTCCGGATATCCGCTGGTGTACCCCACGCACCCGCTGCACGGCGTGCACTCGTCGTTAACGGCCGCGGCCGCCGCGGGCGCCACACCACCCTCCCTGGCTGGCCACCCCCTCTACCCGTACGGCTTCATGCTCCCTAACGACCCACTCCCCCACATCTGCAACTGGGTGTCGGCTAACGGGCCGTGCGACAAGCGCTTCGCCACGTCCGAAGAGCTGCTGAGCCACTTGAGGACCCATACGGCCTTTCCCGGGACGGACAAACTGCTGTCGGGCTACCCCAGCTCGTCGTCTCTGGCCAGCGCCGCGGCGGCCGCGATGGCTTGCCACATGCACATCCCCACGTCGGGCGCTCCGGGAAGCCCCGGGACGCTGGCGCTGCGCAGCCCCCACCACGCGCTGGGACTCAGCAGCCGCTACCACCCCTACTCCAAGAGCCCGCTCCCCACCCCCGGCGCTCCGGTGCCGGTGCCCGCAGCCACCGGACCCTACTACTCCCCTTACGCCCTCTACGGACAGAGACTGACCACGGCCTCCGCGCTGGGGTATCAGTGAGGGAGGGTCGTGAGGGCTGGCGAGGGAGAGAAGGGAGCTGGGGGAGGGGAGGGGCCGAGGGAGGGGCGGGAACAGGGAGAAGCTACTGTCACCCGCGAGTGGGGACGACCCGGGCCAGGAAACGAAAACTTGTATACCGTACCTATCCACCCGAGACAGCGACCGAGACCCGGTGGGAAAGTCCCGTTGGCCCCGCCTCACCTCCCCACCCAAACTTTATAAAAGTTGAAAAGAATATCATTTGACTTTTTATAGAAAAAGAAGGAAAAAGTAATTGAGAAAGTGTTCATCTGAGGACTGCGCCGGTGGACACTGGTATTTATTTATGTTAGCTCCAAGCGGACCCGTGGTTCTAAAGTGCATTATTTAGTTTGAGCTCCGTAGGTCAAAAGGAAGGGGGAATTAAAACTTGAGGGTAAAAATGGAAAACAAACCCTCCCGTCCCTTGTAGATTATAAATAAATACAAAACCGCCACAGAACTAGAGGTCTTCTCTTTAATGTTACTTTAAAATTGCTATGATTGTATTGTACGTTCTTATTTAATGTCTGATTGAAATACAATTTACATGCATGTTTGTTACAAAAAATGAAAAACAAAACAAGTCACAATTTGTCAGCTCTGATTTCAAATTGCAATTATTTTTAAGGTGTATACCATCGGAAGAGAATGGGTATTTTTTTGTATGTATTCTGGAAGAAAACAAAAAAAAGGAAAAACAATTCTATTCCAAAACCTCATTTGCCTTATTTTGTTCTTTAAACGGAACACTTAACTATTTTTAATTTTTAAGTCCACCCGCTGAGAAGGGGACAAGTAAGGTTTACGTCATGTACTAAAATAATAGACAATGTATCGCTTTAAAGATTAAAATTCCGTATATTTGATGTATTAAAAGGTTTTACTTCTTATTATCATCTTTTTTTGCTTTTGTGGTTGAAGAGAAAGAAGAGCACGGCGGCCGCAGTGGGTTCCGGGGCCTGCGCCCGCGACTTCCCGGACGTGGCCGCGTTTCCGATGGTTTTGTTGTGATTTTCAGGAAAAGGCAAAGGCTTCGGACGGGCTGGCCAGCAGTGGGGTTTGTCTGAGGGAAACGATTTTTCAAGGAGGTATTTCACAATTTGAAAAGATATTATCCTTAGCTATCGCTCATTTCGTTTTTAATTTTTCTCTCAGCAGCCTGTTTATTAAAAGTGAAAGAAAAATGGTTTTTGAAATTTTCCTCTTGAGATTTTTGGGAGTTTGGGTTTCGTTTTGAGCAAAGAGCAAGCGCAGGCCCGGACTCGCCCTCCCGGCCTTGGCCCTGGGGAGACGCCGCGGCCGGCTGTGTCACCCTCTGCTTTCCAAGCGTCGTCGTGCTCGGGGCCCGCAGCCGGGACAGACCAGGGGACCCAGGACGCTTGGGAACCTGTTTCCCAGGGCTGGGGAGAGCGCCCCGCAGCCCTCCCGTCTCTCGGGGGAAAGTGAGTTCGCTCTCCTTCTCTCCTTCTGGCTGCCTAGGGCCAGAGATGGCCGCCAGCCGAGCCCCCTCCAACGCCCCCTCTCCCCGCCTCCACCTCTCCCCGCGGTCCTTCCTCTCGGAGGAGTCCGACTCGCCGCCAGCCGGTGCCGCGGCTGCTTTTCCGCGTCCCGATTTCTCCGCGGCCGGCGCCCTATCCCAGTCTGCGCCGCGGGGGAGCGCGCCGGGGCGCGGGACCCGGAAGCCCCTTTAAATTCAACCCCGCGAGGGTCCTGGCGCTCATTCTCAGCCTCGCGGGGGCGACCGGGTAGGCGCCGAGTGCGGTTCTGAGCTTCGAGCTGCACTCGGCAAAGCTGCGGCGGGGCCCTCCGTCCCGGCGCGGGTCCCCGCCGTGCGCACCTCTCCCTTCTCCGCGTTTGGGGCCGCGGGACAGAGCTGTCTGAAGCGCCAGTGGCGCCACGCAGAGAAGAGCCCTAATCATTCGGCGGAGGGGGGTGGGGGGTTGTGTGGGGCATGCCCCCCCCTTCCCGCTCTGTCACACACACACACGCTCAGACTGCAGGCCTGGGCGTGACTCCGGTCTGGTGGGTGTTTGGGCGCTCACCGTCCAGGTCCGCGGGAGCTCTGGGCCCAGAGCGCGCCTTTCCTGGGATCCCGGGACCACGGAGTCGCGTCGCCGAGCGCGCACCCCGAACTCCCCTCTCCCTTGGGTCAGGCCGCTCTGGGTTCTTCCAGCCACCGACCCTCCTCGGCGTCAAACTCTTGCAGCCTCGGGAGGCTCACTGCTGCGCAGAGGCCGCCCTCGGCCTCCAGCCTCGGTCGGTCCACCGCGCCGCTCCCGCCGCCATTTGCTCAGAGGTTGGTGACTTTGAAATTTTCCACCTCTTCCCAGGGTGCGCCTCACGGTTGCGGGGCCTTTTCCCGGGTTGCACGCAAAGCAGCCCGGGCGACCTCCGGGACGCGGCGGGGAGCTCCCAGGCCTCCGCCCTGAGAGGACTTTAGTGGAGACTCCGGCTCGGACGCCGACACCCAGAGGAGGGCAGCCTCTGGCGCCTCGGACCCTCCAGCCTGGACCCCCCGACTCCGGAAACGGGAGCCGGCGTCCAAGGAGGACTCTGGCGGGCGGTGTCCGGGGGACGCCGCAACGCTGCGCCCACTCCGGTCCAGCCGAGTGAGGCTCGGTTGGGCCTGGCTGGGCCTCAGCTCATCGGGAGCCCGGCCCGTGGAGAAGCTCGTCCCCGCCGCCGGGCTCTCAGACGGACAGCACCCCCGCTGCGAAGTGCCAGGGGAGGACGCTCGAGGAGGTCGTGCGGCCCGAGTCGCGACCACCTCGCGCCCCACGGCTTGGGACGGGAAAGCCAGGCCCTGGCTCACCCGCTCACCAGCACCCGCCGCTCACCAGCACCCGCCGCACGCCCCTGCGCTCCACACCCTCGCCCTTCTTCGCCTCGCGTCGTCAAACAGGGGTCCCGGGGCCGCCACGCCTCGGACGCCCGCGCGGGTTCCGGCGGAGATGGATCTAGAAATTCCCCAGCCCCGGGATTTCTGGGACCCGCAGGGGGACAGACTGGGCACGTTTGCGCCTTTGTGCCCACTCCTGGTATTTCATTAACAAAAATCAAAACCAAACTCCTTAAAATTTTAATGAGACCTTCTTCCTGCAGTAACTACTCAGTGGCAGCAAAATTCCAGGACTGGGGGCCCGAGGGCTGGGGGAGAATTCATCCCCCGACGTGTTGGACAGAGCTAAGTCATCCTGGGCGCAGGGTTAGAGAAGAGAGGGTGCCGGTAAGTGCTGAGGGTTGAGGCCGAGGTGCGAGCGCCCTCGGGGAACAAACGCCTCTCCCCGCCGCGCGCCCGGGTTCTCTCGGGCTTTCTCTTGAACTGCAGAGGGATCCGGGCTCACGGGTCTGCGGCCGCTGATCCCCGAGCGGAGCGCGGCCTGTCCGCCAGGCGGCGCTGCGGAGTCCCATGGAGCAGAGGAGGCCCGGAACCTAGGCCCGTGTGCAGGCCCCCTGGGTGGTCGTCCTGGGACCCGGCGCCTCCACCTTCGCTCAGCTTTGGAGCAGTGTTCCAGAGTGTCCTCCTTGTTCCTCTCCTGCTGCAAACCATGTCCTCTGAGCTTCTCCACCTGCTCTAGCTCCTACAGTTGGGTTCTTCTTGCTTTCTTTCCCTATCTGAGAGGAGTTGGCCCAGGTGTCACGACCACTCCTCAATCCTGAGAGCTCCCACCGCCACCCTGCAGGTTCTGGTAGGTCACCTTGTCTGTCATACTGAAGTGGTCCCCATTCATTCACTCTCACCCACTGATTATTTCCTAGGGCCTAACCATTTATCGAGTACTGTCCATCTCTTTACCAGCCCCTGACACAGATGGAGAACTGGAGGCCAAGTTCAGGACGCCAGTGGCAAGGCCAACAGAAGCCTTTCCCTCCATTCAGTCCCTGCCCCCATCTGTACCTCTGGTGGTGACACTGAGTGACTCTGGTGTCTTTATGTTGGGTGACTTTTAAGCTGTAAGGAAAGGTAGACGAAAAACCCTTCTAGCTGATGAACCCTGTGCGTTGGAAAAGTTGCCCAGAAAGTGAGGCCTGTCCCTGAGACGCCATCTGATGTCCTCTTATGTACATATTGGCTTAGAGTCTTCACTCACTGTGGCTAGAGGCGTAGTCGTGCTCAGAGTGACTGCAAAGCTCAGGCTGACCTCATTCTGTTATGGACTGTAACCAGGTGCACTTTCATCGCATTCAAACCTCACAACAATTCCATGAGGTCATTAGAGTCTTCATCTCAACTTTATAGATGAGGAACCTGAGGCTCAGCAAGGGAAGGACAGGAGCTTGCAGTCACACACTAATCAGAGATGGGGTTCATGCAGGGAGTCACCTTGGCTGCTCTCAGTTGAGAAGGTTTCAAACATAATAATACCTGGGAACTAAAGGTTCTGTTTTAGCTGAGAGAGAGGGTAGTGGACATGATTTTGTTATTGTTGTTCTTTAAGACTTCACTGTTATTATTATTTTACTTTTCATTATAGAGATTTCCAAACATATGCAGGTGAGGTCACCCAGAACCAGATATAGAGAAAATGGTATAATAGACCTCCTTAAACTCACCACACAGTACTTACTGCAACTGTAATTAATTCTTCATGGCTAACTGTATTTCCTCTTGACCCCCTCCAACTTGCTTCCCCCCATTATTCAGAAATGAATACAGACATCTTATCATTTTACTGCCTGAAGTGTTTGTCACTTCCAGCCGAAGTCTGAACCAATCCAGGGCTCATCCCTCCACCCTGCCTCAGTTGCAGCTTGGTGGGGTTAAGGACATTGCTCGAGTTTAGTGAGTACACAGCAGAGCTGGGATTTGAACCCATTTCTATCAGACCCAGAGCCCAAGTACTTCACCATATGCTGTGCTGGGAATCCCCCAAAGCCCCAGGGATAGGGAGCCCTCTCCACCCAGTGTGACCCCAGGGCTTGCTCAAGAGGTGTCCGGTTGTAAAAATGACTCTTGAGCCCCTGGGTGACAGCAGCACCTGATAAAGACACCCACAGCACAAAGGACATTGTGACAGTGAAAACAACTTAAAACCACATGGTACAGTAGAAAGAGTACAAGTTTGGGGACAGGTTGTTCTAAATCAAAATTTAACTCTACCACTGGCTCAACTTGAAGCCTTGGTTTTCTCATCTGTAAAATGGGGACATTGATACCAACCTAATAGTGTTATTGTGAGGCTCAAATGAAATAATATATATGAAGAATACTGTCTGCCCTGTCCTGGCTCTTAGTAAAGACAGATTTGTTTTCTTCTTTTCTTCCCAAAGTCTCATTTTATTATAACCAGTTCTCTTACTCCAGAACTAACTGTGGCCCACAGGCTCAGATTCTCACTCCACCACCTAGCCATCAGAATGTCTGTAATTATGGTTTATCCTCTGATCTGTCCCCTATTTGTCCTACCTTGTCTCACCAATCTTCACAGTTCAGATATCTGCTGGCCAGCTAGCCCCTCAACACCTTGGTTGGTAGTATTCATCATATACTCCTTCCCTGGAATGACTTCCACCCAACCTTTCCCTCAAAGCTCATCTCTTCCAGGAAGCCCTCCAGGTTTTTCCCCACCAACACTGATCTTTCCCTCACTTTGCATTCCTTTGGCACTTACTGCAAAGGCAGAGGGTAGAGGTATAAAGACAACTGGACTAGGGATGAGCACACTTAGGTTTGAGCGGTACCCCTTCATAGCTGTGTGACAATGGACAAGTCACTTACGGTCTGTGTGAAACTTGGCTCCAAAACTGATAAAGGATTTAGCATACCATAGGTGAGCAGCACATTTACTGACAATAATAGTGTTAATAAGTAGCATGTATTGCACACTTACTTTCTAGGAACTCATCTAGTCCTATTACTATTACTATCCTCATTTGGCAGGTGAGGAAATTGAGGCCTGGAGAGAAATAGCATGTCTGTGTTCCAGAGCTTATGTCCTTAATCACTGTGCCACACTGTGCTAGTCCTGTGCCTGGGATTTTGTCCTCTGCCTTCTTTTCCTAACTTCCAGCAACTCAAAACTTCTGCTTCAAATCTCAGACCAGGGCTACCTCCTCCTGAAAGCTCCCTCCCCCATCATTCCCATTGGATCCAATGCCCTTCTCTTGCTCCTGTAGCACCTGTCCCTCTCACCATCATACTCTTTTTACATTTGCCTAATGTCCTGGAATCTGAGACACTGGGAAAGAGGGACTATCTCCTATACTTATTTCTACATAGTAGATGTTCAATAAATATAGAGGAAAGGAGGAAAATGGAAGGAAAGAAGAGAGGGGGAGATAAGGGGGAAGACAGAGGGACAAAAAAACAAAAGACAGAAGGAAGGGAGATGGGAAAGAATTAGGCTCTCTCGTGCAAGATGATTCTTCCAAAGAGAGTAGGAGGAAAAGTGGTAGTGGCCTTAGAGGAACTGGAAATGTCTTTGCCCACAGCACAGAACCAGGGGCTGGGTGAGCTTCCATGCATCAGTTAGGAACTGCATTTGCTGACAATAACAGTGACCCTAAATAGTGGCTTAAAGAAGATAAATGTTCTTTTCTCTCAGTCTGGAGGTGGTCAGTTCAGGCTAAGAATGGCCTTCAACCACCAGAAACCTAGGTTTCTTATGTTTACAGCTGTGCTAGCCCAACCAAGAAGACTTCATCCTCATGTCATCTCTGATTCCAAGATTGTTGCTAGAGCTCAGGGACTGTTACCTCATTCCAAACAACAGAAAGGAGTGAAAAGAAGTAAAAGGGTCCTCTCCCTTTTGATGAGTCTTTCTGGAATCCACACACATTCTTCAGCTTATACTTTATTGGCTAGAACTGAGTCACATGACCATACTTAGCTGCAAGGGAGGCTGGGAAATGTAATGCTTAGCTGGGCAGACTGCTGCCTTAAATGAATTCAGGGTTCCATTACTCAGGGGAGTGAGATGGTTGGAAGTCGGGACAGAACATTAACAGACTCCCCTGCAAAATACAGATGAGTTCACCCAGAACTGGAGTCAGAAGAAAGCTCTCTTGTCGATGTCCTTCCAGAGGGTCACTGGATATCAATTTCTACTTCTAACCACAGATTCTTGTTGATAAAGTGGGAAGGAGTGGTACTTGATAAGCTCGCAGAAGTTGTAATTTGAGGTTAGTGGGTTTTGTTTCTCTAACATGCCTGGAGTTGTATTCTGTAATGATTTAAAGTGGGATTTGTCAAAAGTAATTTTTAGCCCTGTAAAGAACTTTGGATAGGGAACTGTTCATCTCAGCCCTGCACCCTGCACACAACACAAAGCCAGGAAGAAGGGATCATCTTTTAAAAAACAAAACAAAACAAAAAAACAATGGGGTGGAAAAGCAGAAACATTGTAAACCTACTTCCCATCCCCTTCCATGTTATTAACAAAAAAACTGAATAAAGCCTCCAACTCAAAACAGAGGCAAACTGATGCTAAATCAGCTCTGCACCAACCCTACCTTAAATAATTATAGCATAACTATGGAAACCTAAAGGAAACAAACCATGACCCAGAAGAACACAAATGGTATCACTGAATCATAGCAACACCTAAGCAAGTTTCAATCATGCCTTCATACACCTGCACAGTGGTGGCCCTCAACGCACACCTATGCTGGTTCCTGAGGGTATGGGCAGGGGGAGGGGGACTTGGAAAAGGAAGAGGAGATTCTTAGGACTGGAAGGGGTAAGGAGAAAGCAGGAACAGAGGTGAGGAAATGTAAGTGTTTTGGTTGCCCTGTTTCTAGAAGTTTCTTCAGCTTCAGGTCTCAACAAGGGGGAGACATTTCAGAGTTCTGGGCTGACCTCTTTGTGTGTCTCTCTGTGTCTCTGCCTTTTTTTTTCCATGCACTTTACAAACATCTCTCCTCCAGACCCTCCAGAGGCAATTCCTGTGGTGTAGGAATTCTACTCACTCCATTTCACTAATTCTCAAGCATTGTGTGGGTTGAGGAAAGAATGCAGAAACCACAGAAATCGACCTAGCTTGCTTGCTTTCTTTTTCTTTCTTTCTTTCTTTCTTTCTTTCTTTCTTTCTTTCTTTCTTTCTTTCTTTCTTTCTTTTTCCTTTCCTTCCTTCCTTCCTTCCTCCTAGAACTTGATAAAAGTGATGGCCCTCTTTATAGAACTCAGTACACAACTTTGGGAAAATAATTTCAAGTATTTCATGGATTGGCAGATTTTAAATCTTTGATCTTGAAGGAAACCTGAGCTTTAAATATAAAAAGAGCATG